TTTTTTTTATATAGTATATTAACTATTTTCATTTTGTATTGTAATGCTATCATTTGTATCAGTATTATTTGATAGTACTTTTGATTTCAATGGTGTGGTTAGGGTACAAGATGGGCCTGGTCGAGCCAGGTCTACTTAAACCCAAAACATAGCTTAAAAATTATTTGTAAACACGAGTCCGGCCTGAAAAAAAAAAGCCTGTGAAATAAACTGGGCCGGACCTTATTCAAAACTATACCTGACCCAGCCCAGCCCGCAGTTTTATACAAAATTTTGCAAATATAGCTATTACAGCTATTTTATAATTTCTGAAACATTTGATAAAAAATCTGCTAAATGATTTTTTGGCTATTCCAGTTAAGTTATTATTTTGGCATAATAGATTCAAATAAAATTACAAATTATATATAGAGATTAGATCTTTTGAATATCTGTTATGAATATTCAGTAAATATTTACAGATTTTGAATATTCATGAATACTATTAATGAATATCCAGGCTTTGGGTAGATATTCATGTGATTAGTCGTGAATATTCATGAATATTATATAAAAAATCAGATGACTAATGAATTTAAAATCTGGGGTACAAAAATTTATTTTGATTCAAGGTAAAAATTAAGTAAAACTTTTGATTTATTTCAATTAACTGAAAGTAGAAATTTTAACTATATTATAAATTTTGTTCTGTTGGTTATTTACTATATATATCAAAATTGTGTGTATAATAGTGATGAAACCCAAACTATTTATGGCAAATTTATAGCAATTAATAATATATTACAGTAATATATATAGAATTGGAATTCAAAATCTTGCTTGCTAAAATACTAAGTCCTAAACTAGTTTTGCCAATTTGGAATATGCATCAAAACTATCAACTACTGCTAATATACAAGAAATAACAAAAATCTATATAAATGTTTGCATAATAATATAATGATAAAGTAATTGGCTAGTATGTCTAGAGCCCATTATAGAACTAATATATTATATAAACATGTAATATTATACGAAGACAAGCAAAATTTTCCAAATTACTATTTCATTAAAATAAATTTTTATTGTCAACAGCCTATGATAATTATCAATAGTAATATCTATTGACCAAATTCAAAAACTTATCGAATTGGCTAACATAGAAATCCTATTTTTTATCAGCATGTATGTTGAAGTATTGTTAAAAAAGTCTAATAGAACATATATTATACTAAATTTTGTAAGAAGTTTTTTTTTATTTCGACACGAAGGTGAACTTATAAAGTAACTAACAATGATTTCAAATTTTTATATTACACCGGGTCTTGTAATTTGATTGATAAATAAAGTGATGCTCAATCAGAATTGGTAGAAGAAATTATAGATTTACTATTTATATCACTTATACTAAAAATTTACATTTTCAGTAACCAAAACAATTTTGAAGCTAAAAATACTTACAGTGTCTGGTATATTGGTATTTTGAGAAGTATATCAAAAATACAAAAAATATTAGCATGCTGTGATGCTGTAAATTATTTAGAATTTAGATGCATATATATATGGTCAGACATCCCTAAATGAAACCCCTCTAAATAAATACCTCTCTAAATACATAAACATTTCTCTAAATACAACCTCTCTGAATGAATACCTCTCTAAATACTACTCTTCTGAATAAATACCTCTCTAAATGCAACCCTAAGCTCTAGCCCAAATATATTTCTAACCCTATAGATGCAATTTTTCTTATTGTTCACTAAATATGTATTAGTAAAGTTTAGTCCCAATAAGTTGCATTTAGAGAGAATTGACTGTATTATTAGAAGTAAGGTAATGATTTTAGATAACTTGATAAAAATTGTGCCTCAAAGTTTCTTAATAATTTCACAATAGAAAAACGGATATGAATACAATAAAAAACAAAGAAATTGGTATATTAATATTTAACCATATACTATTTTTTTAAAAATGATTAGTAATAGCCTTTATCAAGTAAGATTTAAAGATAATACTGGTTTTTGTTCTCCAGAATGCTTCTAAATAGAACCTACAAAATTTAATAAATCTTGATAGAGTAAATATTCTTTCAGTGCTTTGTAAATTCAATAGCTATAGAATCAAATTCCCATAAAATAATTTGTTTAAAATTTTTGTAAGGCCACATAAAGTTGATTAAATTGATTTTTCATTTTATATTATCTGATTGATTCATTTTTTAAAAATTTTTTTTTTTATATCCCATTTATATCAATTATTCAATTTTGCTGTTTATTTTTTTTCTGTCATTTTTATCCAGTACTACCTGATAAAGATATACTTTCCTGTAATTATAGGTAAGGTTCTTTGAATATCTGTCATAGCTATTTAATAAATATTTACAAATTTTAATTGTCTATGGATGATATTGAATAAATATTCATATTTTTATATAGATATTTAAAATGACCAAATAGATTAGATTATTTATATCTGATCTCTGAATTTTGTATAATTTAAAGTTTATTGATTTGTAAGTTTTGTGTAAATGAGCATTCACTTTTAATTAAATATTAACAGTTACTTCTATAGTCTCTGGAACTAAATAAAAAATATTAGTAATATTAGCTGCATAAGAAAAATAAATATAATCTTACATTATTGATAATAATTTCTTGCATGAATCAACAGCAGAAACTATTAATATTACATATATATTAAAACTAGTGAGGGATTATATCCATCACAATTGAATCTAATATAAATAATTAAATTTGTAATTGATCACAGAAGAAAGGAATTCACTCTGGATCGGGCATTGTCTCTGCTGTTTGCATGAATCTGAATATAGCAGAATCTCAACTTTCTACTATTTATCAATCTAATTAAGAAATAAATATGTAATAATATTAAATTACTTCAGATTACTAATAGAGATGTGAATACAATACCATAATTGGTCATAATTCTATTTAATTACAGTAAAAAAAATGCTGTAATTCAAGATAATTATGACAAATTATGGCATTGCGCTCATATCTCTAGTTACTAAAAATCTGAGTCTAGTAAATTTATTTATCTTATTCATATCAATTCGAATAGTAGGCTTTTTGACCTTCTTACATCTAACAAATTTGGTGTAATAATTACGTTAATCTAATATATTGTCTAATTATGATATATAAAAATAAATATTAATATATATATAAATATTTCTTCTTGATAATTGATTAAATATATAAATACATTTGTCTATGAATTTAATTTTTTTACTTGTTGCTATCAAAAAAAATCTACTTCATCTATGCCCTTATCTGTATTTTCATCAGAAGAATCTACTTCATCCATGTTCTCATCTGTGCCTTCATTAGAAGAATTTTCTGCATCAATATCTTTATAAAAAAAATCAACTTTTTCACCTGTATCCTCATCTGGATCTTTATCTAAAGATGATTCATTAAACAATATAACGAAAAAACCAAAGAGTAGGCCAAGATTAAATAGTTGGATTTGGTTGTGGGGTGAGCATCAAGAATTATCTAATCAAGGTGAAAGAATTTTTATATACATGAACAAGTTATCAAATAGAAAAGACTGTGATTCTAAAATTACAACAAAAGATTCAACTAAAAATATTATTAATTACTTAGCGACTATACATCAAATATTTAAAAATACTTCCTTACCTAATATAGTAATTAAAAAGCTTCTTGAAAGCAAATCTCATATACCAATAACCCAAGAACAGCAAAAGCATCTAGAATCGCTGCTTTATGAGTAGATTATTTTAGATTCTCTACCTTTACAAGCACTTGAATCCTTTTTGTCTCGACATTTTATCAACAATCTTAATCCAGATTTCAATATTCCTAGTAATAAAAGATTCAAAAATAAGATTTTTGAATCTAAAAGTTATGTTAATCAGAAAGTTTTTGAAATATTAAAATATGAAGCAAATTAGGTATCACTTATATGTGATTTATGGACGTCTTGTTCTAAGATAGGGTTTCTTAGAGTTACGCATATTTTATAACACCCAATTTTGAATTAAGAGAAGTTATCTTAGCAATTAAATATTTACCATATCCTTATACAGGTAACAATATAAAAAAAGCTTTTGAATCTCTTATATACGAATAGAAATTAAAAGACATGGTATTCTGTTGTATAATCAATAATGATGCCAATATAAAGAAGGTATTAAAACAAATTTCTTGGCTTCAAAAAGTTCTATGTGTGACTTATACTATTTAGTTGGTAGTTGGAAAAGGAATGTTGCCGGCCAAGGTTCTAATTGTGAGAGCAAAAAGACTATAAATTTTTTTGCTCATCCTAAACAAAATAAACAGTTACTAAATATTCAAAAACAATATATGTCTAGGATGAATATTGATAAAGAATCTACAAATAAATCGCAATTAGTTTTATATCATATACTTACTGATTGCGAAATATGGTGGCTAAGTACTTTTTATGCTTGAAATCATCTTTTAATCTTAAAACCGTTTATTGAATATTCTCTCTACTGATATGAATGTAAAAAATATTGATTATGAAATTAAAAAAGATAGAAAATATTTAAAAAAAAATAATTTAGCTTCTAAGGAATGGTCAATTATTGAAGATATTATGTCTATCCTAGGACAATTCGCTGAAGCTATAAAAAAGTTAGAAGAGAGTCAATATTTAACCGTGAGTTATATATATCTTGCAATACAAAAAATAAAATCAAATCTAAGTCCTTTTTTAACCCTACTGATAACAATAAAAATTCAGATGAATTAGATGATGCATTTGATGAATAACAAATAGAGGATGATGTAGAAGAAAATGAATCAAAGACAAAACAAAATTAAAATTAATAATCTAATTAATATCTTTGGATTAATTAATACGATTAAAAGTAAGCTTTATCATGTACTAAATTATTATTATGATGACTTGAAGCTTGATGGACTTGTTGCTTCACTCTTGGATCCACGTTAGAAAAGTTTGTTGTTTATAACTAAGCAAAAAAAAAGTAAAACAATTAATGAATTGTGATATTTATATGAAAATGAAAAGTCTAAATATTATAGAACAAACTTATCCGAAAGACAAGAAAGTAAACCTTTATACAAAAAACAAAAAAAAACAAAATTATATAGTGAAAGTTTGTTTAGTTCTTTTAGTTCTAATACGGATAAAGTCGACAGATATTTGGTATTACAAGAAATTCTGAAAGATCAAGATGCACTTATTTGGTCAAAGAATAACAAAAAAAATTTTTGTATTCTTTCTGAACTAGCAAGAAAATATCTTGTCATTCAAGCAATATCAGGTGCTAGCAAGAGACTCTTTAGTAATGCTAAAAATATTATAACAAATAAAAAAACATCTCTAAAGCCAAAGGTATTCTAAACTTTAATATTTCTTAAAAGAAATAGTCTAGTAGTAGATAGAATCTTTAACTATAATAGCTAATACAACAAATAACTTTGAGTATTTGAAGTTTATAAAATATATACCAATAATATATATATATATATATAATAAATAAATATTATTAATTGCTAATGCAAAACATTGCTACCCTTAATTTTTTTTTAAAAAAAAAGAAAAAATATGCATTAACAATTAGCAGTTAATTATGATCTAGTTTGTTTAAGTAAGATGATACATAGCGATAATTAAAAAGTAACATTAAAAATTTTTTGATAATCACTATTACACTTGATTAGAGAGATCTGTGTGATGAATAGTGGCATATAGTTTGCCAATTATGATATCACTATAAATATCTAATGTGATACTAATCATCACATATTTGAATTCAAACTATATATATGTTACTATACTTGATCTTATACATACTCTACTGTCTATAATACCACGGTTTTATTCAAAAAACTTCCAGACCAACTTGAATAATACTTGGGTTCTACATACATATACAAGAAGAAATTCTATATCATTTATATGATAACTAGTCAATTAGGGTAACAACACATTGCACCCATAATAATAAATACATATATATAAAATTTACATATTAATGCATTTGCAGCTAATCAAAATTTTAAACAAAAAACAACTAAGTATAAAAATAATTATATTTGTGATTAAATTAATACTAGCAGAAATCTTTATCATGAAACTCGATAACTTTAAACCTTAAACTATAATCTTGTTACTGCAAAATTCTAATTACTATGAATAAAAAAAAAAAAGCAACAGAAAAAAAATATA